ATGCTCCGGTGAATACCAAAGCAATTTTTAGTACAGTTTGACTAGATTCATTGGCCAAAACTTTGAAACACTTCTGGCTCAAACCCTAAAAGAGCTGAAACTAGAAGACTTGATGGCATAACCCTTATTGCAAGAAAACTAAGCAACACAATGTGTCCCCATTGTAAAAACACTATTTTTATTCAATGCCATCCAGAGGGCAAACTCAGCAAGTGGGAATTTCATGAGGTTTAACAGGACCAAATCATACTGCTGCACCTGGGATGGTGTCGCCCTGATTCTTAAAATTTTCCAGAGCCTTCTGAGTTTACATTCTGTTAGAAAACTTTCCCACACATTTTCTATAAACAACATATTGTTTTGCATTCCTTCGTGGGGGTGGAGGAAGTTGATGTACTGGTGGTTTGTCCAATGTCTTTGGAGAGGTGGCCCATTCACTCTCCAATCCACTGTCACCTTTGGAAAAGTAGAAATGCTGGAGTCAGAAAATAAACCTTCTTCTCTTTTACCTTGCCATTGCAGTGGCTCGTGTTGTGCTTTCTCGTGTCCTACAGCGACAGGGTGGAGCCAGCCCTGGTGTCAGTCCAGGCTGGGGATGAGCAGATGGAGAGCAGCCCTGCCCAGAAGGACCTGGGGGTGCTGGTGGGCACGACCCAGCCACGTGCACTCAGCTCAGAGAGACAAACGTGTCCTGGGCTTCATCCAGAGCCCTGTGGGCAGCAGGAAAGGGGAGGAGGGGATTCTGCCCCTCTGCTCTGCTCAGAGCCCACCCAGAGCTGCATCCAGCTCTGGGCTCCCAACACAAGAAGGACGTGGGACCTTTTGAGCAAGTCCAGAGGAGGGACACCAAGCGATTAGAGGGATGGAGAACATGTCCTGTGAGAAAAAGCTGGGAGAATTGCTCAGCCTGGAAAAGAAAAGGCTTGGAGGTGGCCAAATTGTGGCCCTCCAAGTGCCTGAAGGGAACTCACAAGAGAGCTGGAGAGGGGCTATTTAAAAGAGCCTGGCGTGATGGGAATGGCTTCAAACTGAAAGAAAGAAGGTTTAGATCACACTTGAGGAAGAAATTCTTGACTATGAGGGTGGTGAGGCCCTGGCACAGGTTGCCTGGAGAAGATGTGGGTGGCCCATCCCTGCAAATGTTCAAGGCCAGGTTGGATGGATCTTTGAGCAACATGTCTAGTGAAAAATATCCCTGTCCATGGCAGAGGGGTGGGGACTAGGTGATGTGTAAGTCCCTTCCAGCCCAAACCATTCTATGATTCCACTCCTAGGGCTCATACTGAGCACAGTCAATAAATTTGCTGCCTTGGAAGCAAATACTGGCAATAAGCAATACTAGCACACTACTGCAAGTTTTCAAAGTTAATTGAATCAGCATATAAAAATGTTTTCCCTGTGTAATAAATCTCATTATAATCAACCTCTCTATGGCTGGCAGTTCCCTATGATATGCAAATTTCAATTATTTATTTAGAATATATTCAGCATTTTCATATGACTCCATTTTCTGTTTAAAAAATTTGAAAGTTGAATTAAATACCCAGCTCTCCTTTGGAAAATGTTATTAGCAACATTGTATGCCAACATAATAATAGAGCTTTTCAAATATTCAGACTACAAATATACTTTGGAAATGAAAAAAGTGTTTCAATCAAACTTCCTTTAGGATCTTCCTGGTTAAATCTGCTATGCTGACTTCTTTACAATATACAACACAAAAAGAGATAAAGGTTTAAGGCTATTTTACCTATTTTTCCCTGACACAAGAGAAAAACTTAATGATATAATCATTATTTATTTCCATTTTAAAATTCAGTCTCAATGAACTCATGCTGAATTTCATGTAAAAGGAGAAACAGAGACCACTGACAAATATATACTAGTGATCCACTGACACTATGAATCTGTTTCTCAACCAGTGTTGTTAAACATTCTGGAGAAAAGCTAGATGACCTTATTCAAGGTGAAAAAATAAAAAGGAAGCACCAGAAAACAGATGTTATCTAATGGAACTTTTTCACAGTTTACTGAGTGTCTCATTGTTTCTTGAAAGACATGAAAAACATGGCAAAAAAGTCCAACAAAAGCCACGCAAAGAGATTGCAAGTTACAGAGATATGGAGTTTTTTTTATTCCCTGAGTATCAAATGATTCTCCTCCATCAGAGTTACTGTTAATATAGAACAATAAGACCACAACTTGCCCCATGGTTAGTTGTTATTTACATTTGCACAAAGCATGTTTTCATTTGTGATTCTAATCACATAATCTCACTAGGAAAGAAAGAACTGTCATGATGATGGCCATCTCTTAAAATTGCAAAACTCAACCTGGGAATTTCTGTTCTTTTTCCTTTTTATTGTTTTTGCAGAAAATTGTATCAAATAATACATTACTTCAATGCAGACTAGACTGTCACTGAAAATAATTTCTAAAGAAGAAGTAACATTTATTAAATTTTTCATGCTTTTTTATTTTTTGGTATTCACATGGAAGAAATAAATTTATATGAAAGAAATAATTGAAATATGTGTATTACATGGTCAAACACAGCAGGAAAACAAGGATTCATAATTAAAGTAGATTAAATCATATACCGCATCATCAAAATGAGGGGTGTGTAATTAAAATAAAAAACTTAAATACAAAACTTTTATATATAGTCAGTGTATATTCACCTCCAGGTATCACAGGATTATAGACTGCTAAATGATGAATGCCAAACTGTGATAGAAAAATAATCAAAAAAATATATTTGAAGGTCCATAAATAAACCCCAGCTAAGAATTGTTTGATTCTAGATCCAAATATCAGCATGTGAAGGATTGATTGCACCCATCACAGATATTTCTCCTCTTTTTTTCTTTCTGGCCCCTTGAATATTTGATTGCACTGTTCAAAAGAGAAGAAATTCCAAAGGAGCAGTAATTGTAGAAAATCCACGGACAAAGACAACAGACACACAGAGGATATAGATTTCAATTTCCCCTGATCCCACCTCTCTGGCTGTGCCTCATTGTGACAGACATAAGAAAATTAAGTAACTGCATAAAAAGAAAGAGTCTAATAAGGATATGAAACACCATCCGAGGTTGTTCATACCCATTCTTGCCATCAGCATTTCCTATTTAATTGAGATAATTGCTCTGGGTTCTCTGGATTCCATTTTGAACCTTCTCTTGTCCAAGGGAAGAAAGATAATTTGTAGATTTTTGACCTGGTGATTGCTTTTTAGAATGCTTCCTGCCATGTTTAATGCCATGCTGCTGAAATGCCACTGGATATGTGTGTCCCTTGGCCACACACTGGCAGTCAAACAGGAACCTCTTTCTTAGCTGGGGTAAACTAAGAGGAATTTTTGGCTGTTTGTTACTAGAAACACATCCTGGCAACACTGTATGGACTCTTAACTCCTGTGAAAAGTCCCATAAACTATTTCTGAATGCAATCCCTAAATTCAATTTGGCAAGGACAAGAAACTCAGGATTCTAGTTTAGGTTGGTAGTATCTCCTTCCCCGCAGATGAAGGTTTTGCCTGTGATTTTTGCCTTTGTAGAGGAAGCAAAGTGATTGTTTCAATTCTGCCTGTGTGGCTTTGAGGTCTGCCTTCTCCATTTCCAAATAAATCCAATAAAATAAAAAGTGCTCTGGAAACCATGACTCCTACAGAGAGGCACAGTCTGACTTTGAGGGAGTAAAAGTGTCTGCATTAGGATGATAAATGACTGACTATAATTAATTGATCAATTAATTGATTTTACAATAAAATCCAGTATTAGAAGTAGTGGCCTTAAATACACCATGACCCGCAGTTTTATCTGATAAATTATCCTCCATCAAAATCCACACTCAGCAGTTATTTATTGTGCAAAGTTCCAAATTGGATCTTCTACTTCTGAATTAATTTGGATCCTAAGTATTTTGCATTTGTATTGCCACCCAAAAGAGTTTGTGTAAAAATCATGTTTAAAAAAGGGATGTACAATATTTACAGTAGGAACATGCTTGACTTTCTATGATATTAAAAAAGCTTAGCAAAAGGGAACAATGCTCATCATCTAAATGTCTGCTCCAGAAAAATTATTCCTAGGGTAATTTCAGGGATGCTGCTCTCTCTGGATTCAATTTATGTTCTGCATCTACAATAAAGGGCAAATGTCTCTGCAGCTCCCTGCTGAAATCAGTGTTGGTCTTGTACTTCTCAGTCTCACAGCTTGGAAGAATGCCACTGCAAAGGAGCACGGAAAAGGGAAATGAGCCACCACAGAGAAAGTCAAGAGTGAAGATGCACTTCAAATCAATTTTGCCATGAAGCTGAGCTCTTGTTAAGTCTGGTAGGAATGGATTTTAACAGATAGGAAAGAATTACCTCAGGGCTACTATTCTCCTAATCACAAAGATTTTTTTTTTTAAATTATTTTTCTGGAAAAACCAAAACATTAAAGATTTTTTAAAAAACCATATTTTTAAATGATGCTAAATATCTAATTAATTTTCAGAAAAGTGTTTCTTTCTTGGGAAAAAGATGTTATTTAACCTATGAAATGTTGTAAACAGATTTTTAAATCAGACTTTGTTACTCTTACTGCTATGTTGTAATTGTGGAAGAGAAGATGGAAGAGACAAAAGAAGCATCAGTCTGATGAAGTATCAGAAAGAAATTTGAAATGGCATTTGACAACATATCAAATAAAGGGCACAATTCAATAAGGGATCACAATTCATACATTCAGTAGTGTATAGAAGACTACATCATTTTAAAACCCACTAAAATATATTTTTATAAATGCTATCTTACTGCACAGGACAAAAACTGAAGAATACGATTTCAGAATAGCTGAAAAAATCACAAGCATTGCACATAACCACTCCAAGGCTTTTCCACAAGTAACTGAAATATAGGTCATATTTTTTAAAAAAAAAAAAAAAAAAAAAAAAAGTTAGAAGCAG